TTTCTTTCGTTGGTCTTTTCGTTGGGCAAAGAAGCTTGTCAAAGAGGATCGGGTGCAGGTATGTTTGTTATCATATTTGTCGAAGAAATTACTCATTTTCTCTTAAGCAAAACATCTCGAATCTCTGCCAGTCGATTTTCGTCTTCTTAACAGTGTGCTACGATAAAATTTGCAAACACTGACTAGAATCGTATCCTCTTCGATAAGTTTACGAGTTAGTTTCTTCATCGCCTTCGTTCACAAATAACAAACACAGTTTAAAATGTTGAAGGCCGAAGTCAACATCCAAGTCCTAAAGGTCGGATATATATGCAAGCATGGCGGAAGGACGTTCAATCTGTAGCTCTGATGCTGATGCTGTTCATGTCTTAGAAACCGAGTCCTCCTCGCTCAATCCAGAGTCTTGTGAGCTAGAGTATCTTCATCTTAATGACGGAAAGTTGGTGTGGATGAATGACTTGGAGTCTCTAAAGAAATTCGTGGAAAATGTTTTAAAACTGCAAGGAAAGTGGCTAACGCCTGGTGGGAATACAAAGCAATTTAAATGTTCAAACGGCAATGTTATCATCAATTGGTACAACAAGAAACAACAAACTCTGAATTTTCAGGGCCGCGATGGTCCCGCTTTAAAGGATAGGCTGATAGAATTAATTCACAAGAAACCGAGAAAGACAACTGAAACGCAAGATGCCAATTCTCTGAGCTCTAGCGAACAATCATTTCAACCATCTACACTATTGCAGGAGACCGACAGTGGTCAGAGTAATTTTCAAACGTCGACTGATGGTGAGAGTCTGCTAAATGGTTCTGAAAAGCGACCAAATTCAGAAATCATTGCCGATATTGAGGGATTGAAACTCGATTTATTGATCCTTCAGAAGCAAGTTCAAGAAAATACAAAGCTTCTGTCGATGGAAAATATTCAAAAACAAGATGGAAATGCTTTAGGTGTCGAGCTCCTCGACTACAAAAAGAAGTGTGAAAAGTTATTATCCACTGTATCTAAAAAAGACAATGCAATTAATGAGTTGGAAGAAAAATGTTTGCTCCTTGAAAGCCGAGTTCTGTCATTAGAGCAAGAAAATGATTCTTTAAAGTTAGCACTAACAATCATTACGCGAGAAAAGAGTGAAGTTGAAAACAATCAACTACAATCAAGTGATCGTTGGTCCGTAGCAAAGCCGCACCCGAGAAGTACAAATGCAAAACATAGGTAGAAAACAATGCCCACTAATATAATTCAAACCCGTAACGGATTTGAGCCTCTTCAAGTTGAAGATCAAATTGAAAGAAATGTAAGCAATCAGAATGGGAATAGCGCTGTCAAAGGACACAGAACATCTTCGTCGTCCTCAGAGATCAGAACGCGCAACGCTGACTTAATCAATTCGTCAAATCAACTTGATCATTCACAGCCCAACCGTCAGAAGAAAGTTATTATAGCGGGGGATTCTACTCTTAAATACCTACAAAGCCATAAAATGTCCAAGAATTCACAAGTTAAGATAGCCACCTTTCCGGGATGCACAACGCAAGACATGAAGGATCATATCAAGCCACTACTACGCAGAAACCCAGACGAGATAATTATCCATGTGGGAACTAATAGTTTACGATCCTCCAATACTCCTCGTAAATGTGCAGTAGAACTGATTGACCTAGCCGAAGCAGTCAGCTCTGAATCCTCAGCTATGATATCTATATCCGGTCTCATCAATAGATCTGATGATGAAGCCCTTGCATTTAAAGTACCTGACGTGAACAAAGTTCTTAAGGAATGCTGCAAGCAAAAGAACTGGGGTTTTGTTGACCACTCTAACATTTCAATAACTAGCCACTTAAATCGAAGTGGTCTTCATTTAAACAAGAAAGGCACCACGCGCCTAGCTCAAAACTTCATTAACCATTTACGTGTAGACTAGGATATTGCCGTCTGGGAATCCGACTCGGCTGATGTCCATAAGGGTACCGACCGCGGTAAGTCCAGCTGTCCCACAATCTTTGGTCGAGGTTTAGCTATAGCATCCCTTAACATTAATAGTCTGTTGTCTCATATTGACGAACTTAGAGTTTTTATGTCCTCTTCAAAAGTTGATATTTTACATATCAACGAGTCAAAATTAGACTCTACAGTACGTGATGACGAAGTTTACATACCTGGCTTTGAAATAGTCAGAAAAGATCGTAAAATTAACGGAAGGAATGGAGGTGGAGTATGTACATACGTACGCACTAATCTGAACTATCGAATACGTAATGATTTAAATAATGATCTTTTAGAGTCTCTTTTTGTTGAAATCAGTAAGCCACGAAGTACACCATTTCTGGTCGGTACTTGGTATCGACCCCCAAGTTCTCCACCCAATTTATTTAGCGAATTTGAGAATGTTATTGCTAAAATTGACGCGGAAAATAAGGAATTATATTTACTCGGTGATATCAACTGCAATTTGTTGCCTGAAGCAATTACAGTCAATTCTTCCCATCTGATAAACATTTTCGATATATATGGTCTTAGTCAGTTAATCACTGAACCAACACGTGTCACCCAGAACTCAAAAACATTAATTGATTTATGTATAACGAACTCCTCAGATAAGATTATAAATTTCGGTGTCATTCACCTTGGCATAAGTGATCATTCTCTTGTTTTTTTGTCACGTAAGACTCAATACTGCCGTATTGGCCCTCGCGTGATTGAAACACGGCAATTTAAACACTTTAACAGAGGAAAATTCTTAAGTGACCTCAATCAACTACCTTGGGCCAATGTTGATTTGTATTCTGATCCCAATGAAATGTGGCATGTATGGAAAGAAATGTTTCTTGGCTGCGTCGATAAACACGCACCACTTAAATCCAAAAGAATTCGGAAAAAACGATCTCCATGGATTACTAGAGAGTTACTGAGCAAAATCCGAAAACGAGATTTCCTTAAAAAGAAGGCAATCTCCTCCAATAACCCGGCTATATGGGATCAATTTAGGTGTGCAAGAAATCAGGCAAATAACGCAATTAAACTCGCAAAAAAACTCTATGTTTCTGACAACCTGGAAGCCAACAAAGGTAATTTGCGCAAAACATGGAATGTTATCAACGAGCTAACTTCACGTAACAGTGGTAAGTCAACGAATATTTTGGAGATCAAGGTAGATGATAAAATAGCAAGTAACCCTTTGGACATTGCGGAAACTATTAACGATCACTTTACAAACGTTGCGCAAGTATTAGCACAAGATATTCCTGTTGTCGATGTTAATCCTGAGTCTTATTTAAAGCCCACTGATCATTCGTTTTCTCTGCAAATTCCGAGTGTTGATATTGTTTCTAACGTTTTGTCGAAACTTGATGAAAAGAAAGCCACCGGTCTTGATATGATTCCGAGTAAATTGTTGAAAATGGCTGCTAATATCGTCGCACCCTCTCTTACCTCAATATTCTCAAAGTCTATTCTCACTGGGATATATCCAAACGATTGGAAAACAGCCAAAGTGACTCCACTTTTTAAAAAGGGCATTAAATCGGACCCTAACAACTACAGGCCGATATCTGTAATCCCTATAATTTCGAAAGTTTTTGAAAGAATTGTTTATAATCAACTTTTCCATTATCTAGATGATAATAAATTGCTACTAGGTTGTCAATCAGGGTTCCGTTCTCTACATAGTACGCTCACGGCTTTGCTTGAGGCAACAAATGCTTGGTCAGTAAACATCGACAATGGCCTTCTAAATGGCGTTGTCTTTATTGACCTTACTAAGGCATTCGACACCATTGATCATGAGATCATCTTGCGTAAGATGTCGTACTTGGGTGTCGCTCAGTCTAAATGTTGCTAAAACAGAGCTAATGATTATTGGATCAAGACAAAGACTATATGCCCAATGTGACGATGTAGAAATCAGAATTGATGACCAAATTATTAAGAGAGTCGATCATACCAAATCCTTGGGTCTTACCATAGATGCTCAACTCTCTTGGGGTAAACACGTTGAAGAGATTTGCAAGAAAGTCTCTTCAGCTATAGGCGCCCTAAAACGTGTGCGGCCCTTTATATCCAAAGAAACTGCAATTCAAATTTATAACGCTTTAATTATGCCTCATTTTGATTACTGCAGCCCCGTCTGGGACTGTTTGAGTGGTTACTTGAGTGATAAGCTCCAAAAATTAAAGAATCGTGCAGCCAGAGTTATTACTAAATCACCCTTTGATGCGAGCTCAAACCACCTTCTCTCCACCCTCAGCTGGGAGAGGCTATCTCTTCGACGAAAGAAACAAAAAGCCGTAATGATGTATAAAACCATGAATGACCTTGCTCCAGAATATCTGCAAAGTCTTTTCTCTCAGCGTCACTCTGCTTACAACTTAAGAAACTCTGAGGGAAGGCTGACCTTGTCCAAACCAAGCACCAATTATTTGAAACGAAGCTTCTCTTACAGCGGGGCCATGTTATGGAATAACTTGCCCAAAAACTTAAAAAACGCTGCATCCGTTGAGCATTTTAAGCGAAATATCAAGAAGGTAGCTGATATATCGGATTCCCACACGGCAATCATGTAAAGCAGTTGTAATTAGTTTTAGTTTTTAACTTAAGTTTAACTGATGATTTCCCGTGTTTAAATAAAGATTTACATACATACATAGACGTCTTATAACTTTATTTAAACCTTTTTTTGCGAGGCGAGGTAAAGAGATTTAGAGCTCCGAAATGAGCATTTTCTTTAAAAATTTTGGTCCGTATAGCAAGTTACGGACCGCAAATTGACCAATCGCGTGGCGAAAACAGACTCAGCCATATAATAAGCTAGTTTATCGCCTTTATTAATATTAACATTGTTATTCAATATCATGTAAAAAAAAAAAAGATTAAACGTCAGCTTAATACAGCTATTAGAATTCTCTTCCGGAAAAACTGATATCGCCATTTTCACCTCCAGCAAGACATTGGAAGCACCCAATGATAATTGTAATCACTACATTTTTTTGCGAACGTTAGAGACCCAGAATTATATTTTGATCTAACCAGTTAAATTACTCTCCTCGTCCTGCACCAAGCTGACTGCGGTGTTTTCGTACTCGGCCTCCTCTTGGTCTTCTTTACATGTTACAGTTTTACCAACAACCTCTCCCTTGGGGAGTTCCAATCGGTTTCTCTCTTTGTTAAAGACAACACGGCAACACTGGAACAGGAATGGTCCTCGAGTATTCTTTCTTGTTGCTATACTTGGAGGAATATCTGTCATCCTAGTAGTTCCCTTCAACTGAGCCGCAAAGAAGGTCCAAAAGTTGAATCCTCCGTCCACTTCCACCTTCGAAGATAACACGATTAACTGAACAATTATTTTTTCAATAGCCTTTGCATTGCTCTAAAGTAGATCTTACGTTTCATTTGGTTGCTATAGATGCTTAGCAATGTCCTTTTTATTCTTTTATTTATTACTTTGAATCATATAGGAATCATGGTCCTTGGTCTGGACGAAAAGGACGTAAATGATTATTCTTATCTTAGAAGAGGAGTATTGAGCTGATATTTGTCCTGTAAGTTTCCTTTACATTTTACTAACTTGTGACAAACCGACAGCTTCTCAGCTTTGCCGGAAAATGCTGCGTCATAGAAAATGATCACTCCGTTTGAAGGCCCCTGGTTCAGCCAGTGGTTCCTTGGTCCGGCCACTTTGGCCACTTTGTAAGCCATCATGCAAACAATGCGCAAAAAGAAGCGTAAGCACCAGCTGATCTAAATTCCTGTCTATTTTCTGCAGGCATCATTTTAACTTCGAAACCAAAATGAGATTTCTGTGTAAAGAGCTATAGTTTGGTCTCACTTCTGTGAGGAAGCGAAATCGCCACTAGCGAAATCGTCACTAGATTAAATGAATTCAATCAAAGTTTAGAGAGGAAAAACATTTTTCGTCGCTTGTTTAAGAACCCCAAAAAACTTCCCATCAGGGCCCGGTTCCTGAAAGGCCGATTAGCGCTAATCCAGGATTAAGATTTTGTTCCAATTTTTGTATTTACCTTCCTATACATTGCCTATTGTAACATTTTGTGTTATCATTTCCTTTTTTTTCTTTTAAGTAAAGGCACAACAGTATTTTGTTAGCTCGAGTTACATGTTCTTAGACAAGAAAACCTTGCTTACAATTTGGCTTAATCCTGGGTTAAAGTTAATCATCTTTCGAGGAACCAGGCACAGGAAATTTTATGTCTTAAGGTGATGTTACACGGGACGATTTGCAAACACAATTTTTAGCGCAACACAGCGTTGCAATGTTGGAACAATATTGTAACTATTCGAAACCATGTCGCAATAATGTTGCAACGCTGTGTTGCGCTAAAAATCGTCTTTGCGAATCGTCTCTTAGTCGTGCAGCAACGTCAAAGAAATCCGACCGAAAAGCATGCGTCATCATGAACGTGCAGTCCGTGCGGAGTAATGTTTTGCTTATTTTAGTAAGCAAAAAAAGATAAAAAACCTAAAACTACCCATTGCTGGAAGTTTTTGACTTTGCTAAAGCTCCCCAATGAAACAGATTGGACGGATATAAGCTTCCTTTTTATGGCCTTCTATATCATTACGTAATAAATAAAGTGCAGTGCTACCACAGGTAACCCAGGCTCTGTGATAGTACCACAGTACGGTTCCAGTAAAATTACAGTGTTTGTATGGGGTAAAAATAACATCCTAAAATTTCTAGGAAATACTAAATAAAGATCAATGAAACTTACTCTGCAGTTAATTGTTGTTGTCCTTATTGCTCCAACGAAGTTTCGTGATAATTTGCAGTAATTTGTTCAAATTCACTCTATCTACAATAATAATATACAAGGTAGGAAACACGAGGTGCCATTTTCGCCGACATGCTCTCATTCAACACAACTTTTTCCACGAAATTCGAACTCCAATGGAAAATAAACATGCCAGGATCGTAGAAATAGGATAGCAGCAGATATAGAAACCAATGAAGCTTTCCCAGATAGAGAAACGAATCCCACAGACTTGGACAAACTCGAAGAATATAATCCAAACACACCGAGAATACGCTCGCCGAAGCAGCCGGGCCAGATCAACGCGCGGCCAAGAAAATGAAGCCTGGGCACTGTACCAAAAAAATCCCATCTCGGGAGTCCTGGGGTGACCTTTCTAGGGACCGATACATCATTTGCCCAAGGCCACTCTCCCCTGCTGGAAAAATACTTGATAGAAGGCAATTGTTCTTCCTAGCCAATCACTATGGCCTGTTATAAAGAGATTATTTTCCTCTCGAACTATATTCAGCTCCTGGCGCTGGTCCTCAGAAAGTTTATCAAACATCAGTAGGGCAAGGTTATAAGGGCAAAGGAAAGAACAACGAAGGACGATTTACAAAACTTAAAACGAGCAAAAGATATAAGTGAATTTTGGCTCTTACCGAGGCATTTGTACAACAGGACCAAATTCAAAGAGAGGTGTATCACGCTGATTCACATATTTAACCGATAGAGCGTTCACTTGTATTGACAAGAAGTCGGCGTGTTACTGCCGCATTAATCGCTAAATATGTTAATCGCGCTAGTTCTTTGTTTACTAGTGCACGTGCCTTTCACATTCGTCTCAGTTATCGCAATTCATATTCTGTCGCAATTTTCTGTATAATTTTTGACATTAGTTTGTAAGCTTCACCGTTTATTTACGATAGTTTCGCTCGAGAGTTCACAACAACAGTATCTCAGTCATCATCTACCTTTTGTTCAACCTTGTTTTTAGTCCGCCTTGTAAGCATTTCGCGTTGTTATTTCATTAGTTTCATAACTGTTATTTGCATTCCTTAGTAAAAGAAATGGGACGCCTTGTAACTCCGCAGACTCTCCTGATTATATTACTATTTTTTTATCCATTTAAATTCAGGCGCGTGTGCGGGGTTTGCTCTGGCAAATGGTGATTGGCTAGGAAGAACAATTGCCTTCTATCAAGTATTTTTCCAGCAGGGGAGGGTGGCCTTGGGCAAATGATGTATCGGTCCCTAGAAAGGTCACCCCAGGACTCCCGGGATGGAATTTTTTTGTACAGTGCCCAGGCCTCATTTTCTTGGCCGCGCGTTGATCTGGCCCGGCTGCTTCGGCGAGCGTATTCTCGGTGTGATTGGATTATATTCTTCGAGTTTGTCCAAGTTTGTGGGATTCGTTTCTCTATCTGGGAAAGCGTCATTGGTTTCTATATCTGCTGCTATCCTATTTCTACGATCCTGGCTGTTTATTTTCCGTTGGAGTTCGAATTTCGTGGAAAAAGTTGTGTTGAATGAGAGCATGTCGGCGAAAATGGCACCTCGTGTTTCCTACCTTGTATATTATTATTGTAGATAGAGTGAATTTGAACAAATTACTGCAAATTATCACGAAACCTCGTTGGAGCAATAAGGACAACAACAATTAACTGCAGAGTAAGTTTCATTGATCTTTATTTAGTATTTCCTAGAAATTTTAGGATGATATTTTTACCCCATACAAACACTGTAATTTTACTGGAACCGTACTGTGGTACTATCACAGAGCCTGGGTTACCTGTGGTGCTACTGAGAAAGTCTCGAACAATACATTTAACACTCATTGAAAGTGCTTTACTTAAAATGTGACTCAAAGTTGAAAGATCCTTACTTCAGTTCAAGAATCCTCATTTACTAAGAACTAAACGAAACGAAAATTGAACTTTCAGCTGAGGCTTTCCCTATTCACTCACTATTTGGCTGGTTTATGTTATCGTCTGGTGACCAGACCAAGGACCTACTCCGCAAAACTTACTTTGGAATATTATCTACAACTTTGGTTTTAAATTTCAACCTGTCGACCAAATTTTTATGCAAGTCGAAAGAACAGTTCTTTTATGCCGTGTACACCAAAAATTAACTTTCATAACACACTTAATCGCATATGCGTGAATTCAAAATATATCCAAGTAATTCAAGGCGCCATGAAAAAGACACAAACAACAGAACAAAAAAGGAATATGCTGATATTTGGCTTGTGTCACAGATAGCAGTGAGAGCCGAGACGGTGAACGTCACGGCTCATCTTGTAGGATCCAATACTTAGTTATCTTATTCGGGTTATAACATCACAAACTCTTACAAAGAGTTGCTGTAATGTTATAATATATCGCTGATTTCTTTACCCGGTTATTAGCATATTCGGGAGATTTAACCGAGGTTCCTTTTTGATGCAAATTCTATTTTTTTGCTAAATGTGCACGTGCATATGAAACTTGGAAACAATGCCAGTGAATAATGAGGACGCTCACTTGTAAACACAAAACCTGGGGGGAAAATTGGTTACATTTGAGGCCCTATTTAAAAGCCTTCTCTGTTTCTCGGTTTTAAATGTTCTTGAAACTTGCAGGGTATATTTACTGGCAATTGATCTCGGAATTGTCAAATTTATAAAAAAAATTATCGAGCGGTTTTTTGAAAAATGCGAAATTTGTAGGCATGGACCAAATTACGTGCAAAAACTGTAACAAAAGCAGCTCAATGCAAGTTAATAAAATTCTTCTTACTCGCGATCGCCCGGAGCAATTCCCCTCTTTTCTTGTACGCAGCTGGAATCAAACCACCATAAGATAAAGCCGCGTTTCCAAAGCTCATCATTTTCTTAAAAAAATTAGCTAATTGTGTTTTTATGATGCTTAAATCTTCGTTTGAAAATGTTTCAAAAACGCTGTCATAGAATTTGTTCAAACTTTGACATAACTGAGGCAATTATGGCAGGTACAAACTCCCTAAAGCAATTTCTTAAAAAACTCCAGGTACAGAGAAACACAAAGATAAATAAAAAACGTAATGGCGTTGTTACGTTGCCATGGTGACTCCGATTGCAATAAAACCCAGATCACAAGAAATTTTCATCTTTATATAATACAGTTGCGGTAATCTTTTACCCATATCTTTACTCATGGCGACGTAGTTAATGCTCAAACTTGGGAGGTATCCTCCCAAAAAAATCCAGTCGAGCCACCTTAAGAAGGTTAACAGACCAATATAAACTGAAAAAGTTTCGTTTGTATTGTAAACTTATTTTCTTCCCGAAAATTACACCACAAAGTAAAACCGGCCGGACCAAGGACCACATACTGTAGTTATCAGAAGTTAAAATACCTCTTTCTTTCTATTGCCTTTAAGTTCAAAGCATTGGCTGTAAACTACTGAGGTTATCAAACGCAGTTCTTGGTCTTCAAACTCTCCAGTTTTATTACCATCGAGGACTGTTTTTTCCAATATTTCACGTAATTCCGGGTCCTGTATGTACTCCTGATCAATTTTCCCTAGATGTAAGAATCCCAGATCTTTTTTCATTCTAATCCCTGCATTGACGCAATCAGCAGCCTGGGTTTCCATTTCTACCGTTCTGAATATAATAAGAAACACAAAATAATCCCATTTAGACGCCAATTCTGAAACTGCCTAACAAGTACAGGGAATTTTTTGACACGTTTACATGGAGATAACTCTTTCTTATGATGATTATAAAGAATTAAGCGTAATTTAAAGTAAAAAAATAGCAATAAATAATAAAAATAAACCTTCCCAAACCTACTAGCTGTAGTAACTAGTGTAGTTGCATTTTTTTTAGATGTCACCGAGTTATGAAATTTAGCCTTTACTAGTCGGCTTCTTACTTAATAACAATTTGAAATTTTGAAAGCCATTGAGGGCGTTGACCTGATAGAAAATCGTTATATATATAAAAATAAAAAACAAAAACAAAAACAATAATGGAACAGACAGGGAAAAAAACCTAGTGTAGCCCTTGGGATTTGTAAATTTCACACAAAGAAATGTTTTTAGGCCAAACAAACGCTTGAAACCAATCGGAAGTTGGTTTACCGGTGAGAACCTCAAACGTTTATTCAGTGTTATCAAGAGAGAATTCAAAAGTCGCCATTAAAATATTAGGCATTGTTTTCTTTGAGGCACTGAAGGACGTTTCAAGCCATCGATTAAAATGTGCGGACGTCTCAGGAATTCAACTTCCGTTTAATTGCAACCTCTAAACATAACTTAATTGGTAAAATTCACATATCCCGTCCAACACCCTAAGATTCTCTCTCTCTCTCTCCCATTTTTCTTTCTTGTTATAAATGATTGATATAAAACTGTAACTGGAAGATAATATAATTTGTGTAAATTAGAATTGACATAAATCATTATTTTGCCGGCTCGTAACAGAGGACTGGGTTCTAGTGTAGCGTGCGAAGGATCGCGGTTAGGGGATTTGATATAGTGACCGTTTATTTAGTTATGCGTGTCATCCTACGGTCGGCCTCGCCGCGTCAACTTGCTTTGTTTAGTTTAGTTTCCACTTATTCTGTTAGTCTTAATTTCGTTACCATCTGTACTGGTCGTTATGTTTCTTAGCTATTTTATGTAGCATCTCGTTTTCTGCTCGTATTTATTTTATTAGGCTTTATTTTATTTGTTTTGCCTTATAACCCCAAAAGCGACGCCATAACATGGGTTGGGGTTACAAGGTCCCTATTTTTCCAATAATTGTTTTTTTCGGGTTTACGTGTCCGGTTGTGGCGTGTTCTTAGAATTACTGTAACAGTGGAGTTTTTCACGTGAGTTAATAAAGTGTATTATGGGCCTGGCTGACCGACGCGCCCATGCCTCCAAGTGCTGTTTTCGTGTGTTCGGTTGTGTAGTGCAGGCAAAATGTGCTATTACTTTTATTCATACTACTACATGAGAAATTTCTGCAATTTGACTGGCTTAGAGCAGTAGTATTTCAGCTTAATTGGAAATACCTACATGTGATCATGAAAATTACAAAGCCTTTTGTGGGTAGTAGTATAAACAAATAATAGCATGATTTGTAGGTGATATTTAGCACAAATATCACTCGTGATATTTCAAAATTGTCTCAAATTTCACGTATAACAATTTTGAAATATCACTTGTGGTATTTAGGCCAATTATACTACTACATAAGAAATTTCTGCAATTTGATTGGCTTAGAGCAGTGGTATTTCAGATTAATGTGAAAAACCTACATGTGGAAATTACAAACCTTTTGCACGTAGTAGTATAAGCAAATAATAGCATCATTTGTACATGATATTTGGCATAAATACCGCTTGTGATAATTCAAAATTGACTCTAATATCACCCGCCTAACGGCTCGTGAAATTACGTATAACAATTTCGAAATATCGCCCGTCGTATTTATGCCAAATATCACCAAAAATCACGCTGTTACCTAGTATAGAAATCACTACAAATCATGCTATTACCACGTATACATATCACTACAAATCATGCTATTATCTATACAAATTCTTCGGCGTTGTGTAACAGTGATGTAATTTACCCTGCAGCTCCTGTACCATCCTCCTCATCTAGTGTTATTCCAGGATCTTCTTTCTTAACAAATTTGTTCTTCAAGGCTTCAAATTCTTCTTTCCCGTTCTCAACTACAAACTTTTCCATTCCTGCAAGAATTGTGTACTTATGTTGCTTAAATGGACGTGCCAGGAAGGACCGAGGTTGCCTTATCATCAGGGCAAACAACTTTACATCTTGGGTACGGCCATGGACAACAGGAAAATAGTTTCCATCTCCATCACCAAAATGTTCCTTAGAGAATCCTCGTAGCAAGTCTTCAACCAGCTGAAATGTATAAAGATAAGGAAAAAATGATATTTGGCTCTGCATAATAAAAACTGAAGTGAAGGAGTTAGATAAATATCTTTCTCAAATTCATTAATAATTCACGAAGAAAATATAAAGAAAATTAATGTTTATTGAGTGTTTGGAAATCAGATGAAAAATTGCTCAGTTTTGCATCCTCCCTCTAAAATCATTTCGTCATATTAAGCATTCGACACTATGTTTCATCACCAAATGAAACACCTCAAACTGTGGGTCGTATTTTCAGTTTTCATCTTTTGATGATAACACTACATCTCATGCTTGATATATTACGTCAAGACGCAGCCGACCTAAATTGATGCAGAGGTTTCAACTTCGTCTTCACCCTTCAAAAAAGGTAATGGTAAAGACTCCTTCTTTTACGTCGGTAAGTCGAAATAGTCATCTGCCTAAGAAACATTACAGTGCAGTGAGGGGAGCGAGATTAAGTAAATAGGACTAACCTGTGGGATAGGGTGAGCGAATACATGCAAGCGGTACGTTTACGGTGTACCCGAATTCTCTACTCCGCTTTCGAACGCCTGTCAATCAAGCGTTCATCAACAAGGCATCTGGTACCATTATAATTGGCAAAAAAGTCATGTATGACTTCCCCGTTTATTACAATAAAACCCCGTCCCAAGGGTAAGAACTTGAATTTTTGGACTTCTGACGAAACAGGTTCCTGTATTTTAAAGAAGTGATTTGCAGTTCAGCCTAAGAAGATTAATTCTTAAATTCGGTTTGTATTTTCTGTGTGAAAGAAATATAAGATTGCTATAAAATTTCCAATCTCAAGGTCAAACTCTGTGGTTAACATGTTTATTTAGCAATTAATGAATGAGGCTGAGTAGGATATGAAGAATTAAGCAGGCCGAGGTGGATAACACCCTCCGAGATCTGCTTAATTCTTCATATCCTACGAAAGCCGAATTCATTAACTGTTTTATTATTCATTTAAAATAATTCCTAGTCTAAAAACATAGCTAAAACATGCTTCGCTGGATAGATGTTAAGTTCATCTTCGATAGTGTACCTTTAGGTTTCACTGGACGAAAAATTGAATTTAATGATATTTGCCTTAAAGACAAATCTAAGACAAATCTGATGTCAGATTTGTCCACCCATCAAATGTCCCAAATGTGAGACAAATCTGTTATCACATTTGTCTTGAGGAAATGTGAGACAAATGTGATTCAAATATGCCATTATATTTGCCCTTGTACAAAGATATCTTAAAACAAGACAAATACGAGAAAAATAACTTTTTGACTTCTCGTTCCAGTAAAATCGCTATATGATTTTCCGAATTGTTTAGAAACAAGGCTGTTGTTTGTCTCATTAATTAATTTATTTATTTATTTGGTTGTTTTTGGCGCAATGGGTAACCCTTGTCAAGTACTCGTAGATGCATGTAGGTGTAGATATGTAGAAATTGCAATGAGGGATTTTCTGGCTAGCTATTATTGCGCCTTACTCACACTGGATCAATGCTCCGATCAACTTACCGTACTTTAAACGCTGATTAAAACGTTTACAGGGGCTCGTTATATCGAGGTTCCACTGTATTCGAGTCAAGTCAAGTCAAGTCAACTTTGTTTAGGCAGAGTGGCCCTATCAGCCATTGGCTGGTATCAATAGGGGCCCTGCGTAAATTACGACTACACGATAAAAATTTAAAAATTAAAAATTCTTTAAGTGAAGTGAATAAAAGGGAAATTAAAAATTACTTTAAGTGAAGTGAATAAAAGGGAAATTACCGTCTCTTCATAAAAATCACAATTTGTTTATATCCATGTATTAAAAAGGAGTCTTTTGAAGTTTTAGTGTATGCTAGGAAGTTACCTTGCGTTGCAAGTGTGAGGCTCACTAGCCTTTTTTATTACCAAGATTGAAAAGTTGGATTAGATGTAAAAGGAAAGAGTTCCTCCTCCCTTTGACTCCTTAAAACTGATGAGTTGTCAGTGTTTTGATCATTATGCTGTGCCACTGAAAATATGAAAGTTCAACTCTAGTCAAAAGACCAAAATTATTCAGCCATATGGCAGAGTCTTATTTGCACTACCACCCTACACTATAGGGTCTAAACCACATCACCATATATACCGCTAGACATAATGAAAGACCAAGGGACTAGAAAAAATGTTCTTCGTTATTTCGGAGTCCCATGCACTGTACAATCACTGAACTCTTTATGTCATTCTTAAGCAATAACAAGTATAAGATAAATAAGTAAATAAGTACCGTGACAATTTTGAAAACTATAACTTTTTTTAATAATAAAAAGAATACTTTATTAAAATCTTATAAAAACTACACACAAAATTTCAGTAAAATATTCATATAAAGAAAACGTCCATATCAATAGAGTTATAAAAAATCAATTCAACAGTCCCAGTGGATGGCATAAAAGTCAATGCGCTGATAAGATAAGGTTCTGATCCATGAGGCGAGATATAAATCTTTTGCTGTTAATTTTCCGTACCAATTTCCCGATAAAAAGACCCAACTATAGAAAAAAATAATAATAATACAGTGAAACCTCCATTGAGCGGACACCTTCGGGACCTTCCCAAGCGTCCTCTTAATAGAGGGTGTCAGGGTTTGTAAAAATTGCGCAATGTTTAACTTTCAACGGTTACTCTGTACTGTGATAAAGTTCCATGTTGTTAAGGAAGCTAAGGAAGCCGTTCTGTACGTTGTGCAAGACTCTCGGTATAATCTACAGTTTATCGACAGCCAAATGTATTGATTTACTTTTATTAATCGACTACAGCACGTTTTTCAAGGACGTAATCCAATACTACTATTGTTAATTCGGTCCGCTGTCCGCTTAATAGAGGTTATTAACAATAAAAATTAGCCAAATACAATTTATTTTAGTGTCCACGTCCGCTTAATAGAAGTGTCCGCTGAACAGGGGTTCGTTATAAAGGGAAATTTAAGACGTAATTAAAATTTCGGGACCCGGTTTAGAGTCCGCTGCATAGAGGGTGTCCGCTTAATTGGGGGTTCGCTTCATAGAGGTTTCACTATAACAATAATTATAGTAAATATCAGTATTACGTGAAATCCATTCCAGAATTTATGCTTAAGTCCAGATAAGTGCTGCTGATAAGTACACCCTATTCTCTAATCTCTTCATCTTGATCGTCTTTTTGAATGAACGCGCGCGCGAATGCGCGAAAAGTACTCGCGTTCAGATATTGTGACGTTAAGTTACGTCAGCGATAGAACGCCAATCAAATGTCCACAGCTACACGCGCGGTATGTTTGATCACCATTTTGACAGCGTCTTCAGTTCATTTCGAAAAGTTGTTTGTCAGCTTGGCCCTTAGTTTTCGTTGTCTTTAGACTCGTATTTTATGGTTCGATCATGGCTACAAGCAGTCCTGCTGAAGAAAGACAACTTTTCCTGATGGAAAACATGAACAGGAGACTAGATTCTATTTTAGAGAGCCAGAAGAAACTGAAAGAAGCAAACGCAGCAGTTCAGCAAGAAAACGTAACTCGCAAAACAGGAGTGACTAAATAACAGCAAACGCGGCTCAAAACTGTCACGCAGAGAATCTAAAGGAGAAGTTCCAATGGATTTAAGAGTAGGTTTACTTTCTTGTTGCTTTGATGATATAAGAAATGCTTTTGATCGTGAGAGTTTGTGCTTATTCTTTGGATCTGAACTGATAGCGTGTCTTCAAAGGCGCCGACTTGCCTGCGTTGTATCAAACATCACAGGAACCTACAACTTAGCTTAAAGCGCCCAATTTTTGAGGGACAGTGTTAGTCGTTGAAGTGGGGCATATTTATTTCTTCTTTAAACAAAACGAGATCGATGGCCTGGAGAAAGCTGCTGTTGGAAGCAACCAAATACATGTATATTATGGATGATTATGGTTATCTCAAAGCAGAAGTCCTTATCAGGGTTATATGCTTCTGTCTCAAAGCTTAAGTTTAAGCTTATCTAACATGGCACTTTATTTGGTAAATTTACAACTATAATTTTTGTTTTGTTTCCAACATGCAGAAAGATGGTTAACAAAAAACATGACAAGTGGCTCTAAAGTGGAAGAGGAGTATGTTCACAAATTTATGTTTTAGTTTTTTACCTCATGAGTGTTAAAATGTTTTTCTAGCCAAATGGCTGTGCTCAAAGAAAATTTGAAGGGACTGAGTCCATTGCTATGAAACTGAAATCCACACTGCTCAAGATATGGTTCCTATGAAAGACGTTCTTTAAGGCTGGGTTCAAATGTCGAATTTCACTTGAGCCAAACTTAACGCAAGAGTTAAATGCATATGAAGTGCAACGTTTGAATCAGTTAAATAAGACTGTTTAAATTAAATGTGATGTTTGCCGTATCTGCGACTGAAAGAGTTGAAGATTTGACTAAGGTTCAACTTTTGATTCAAACGTCGCATTTCACATGTGCCAAGTTAATGCATGAATTTTGGTAAATTATTATTATATTACTGGGAATATTGACTTTTAACAGAGTTAAATTCAACAGAGTTTAGGGCGTTAAATTTGACGTTTAAATCAAATGCCGCATTTAACTATTTAAGTAGACTAAATTAGGAATAAAGTTCTGCGCATGTGAATTTTGACGTTTGAACTGGGCCTTAGACACTCAGGATTAAAAGTCAGTTGCCACGGGTGACCTGGAGAGCACAGCCTCAGGTGTTGTTTACCTTAAGAATCTTATCCCTCATGCCAGAGCTATGGCAAAGCCCAGGTTTGAGGGTGGGATATCCGAGAGGCCAGCACCTGACGGTCCATCATGAGCCACATTTAGGCCACTTCTCAGTCAAGGCCTAGGCCCAGTTGTTCTAAGGCTTATTAGAATCCACACGGGGATAAATTTTTAAAT